GGGAGCACTTCCGGCCCCGCTGCAGGTTCGTCTGGGGCCCGCACGACAAGCTGCGCAGGTTTGGGGCGGGCGCTGCGCCCCATCAGCCTGCGGGTCCGAAGCAGGCCATGGGGGAGGAGACCTCCGAGGACCGCCTCCGTGAAGCCCGCCCCCAAGGTCGGACCAGTAGGCCAGGACAGTGCTGCCACGGCAAGGACGAGGGCGGCAAGGACGAGGGCGGCAAGGACGAGGGCGAGGACGGCGATGCCGAGGACGGCGATGCCGAGGGGATGACGAGGACGGCGATGACGAGGACGGCGATGACGAGGACGGCGAGTCTGGAGGTTCCCCGCTGCCAAGCAGGAAACTCCCGGGTATGGGAACCCTGGAGAGGAGGCAGGGGGACGAGGCAGGAGCCCTGGGGGAAGACGAGGGGGAGCCCCCCAGCCCCAAAGAAAGCAAGAAGAGGAAACTGGAGGCGGGCCGGCGGGAACAGGCCTCCGGAGAGCCAGGCCCCCAGAGCACCTTCGACGTGGAGAAGATCGCCTTGAACCTGCAGGGCTGTGCCCTCAGCCAGGGCAGCCAGGCCCTCCGGGAGGGTGAGCAGCCCTGTCCCCTGCCCCCACGGACCAGGGTGACCGACGAACTGAGGAAGCGGAGAAGAGTGGACGAGGGTGTTGGGGATGGTGCCGGAGGGGTGGCCAGTGGCCATGCCCAGGCGCCGGCCCCCACCCAGCCACCTGCTCCAGCAGGGAGTCCTGAGGCCGGAGAGGACGAGGGCAGGATCGAGGACCCGGGCAGGATCGAGGCCCCAGGAGGCCAGGCAGAGCCGGAGCAGGGGGATGCCCAGAGCCTGGCCGCAGGCCCCAGCCCGGCAGGACCTGCAGCAGAGGGGGCCGAGGCAGCTGAGCCAGCTGAGCCAGCTGAGCCAGCAGGGGTGGGGCCTCCCGCCAACCCCAGAAAGCCTTAGGGCTGGGTGCCGCTACGCGCTGCTGCGTGGCTGGAGCTGTTAGGCCAGCTCTGGGTGCCCAGCAGCCCGGGCCTCTTCCTGGGGGGTCACTGCGGCAGCGGGGAGGCCTCATTTAACAGGCCCTGTGGCCCCGGCCCACTCTGCTCTGTGCCCATGTGAATTGGCCCTTTTGGGCCTGAGGGGGTGGGGAGATGGGTTCTTTGCTCAGTCTGCTACCAAGTAGGCCTTTTCTGAATAAATTCATCTGACTTTGGCCTTCGGTGTGGACTTGTGTCTGGACGAGTGGTGGGGCTGGTGCTCCTCTGCATGCCTGTCCTCCCCAGGGACCGAGGGGCCTGGCCCAGGTGAGTGTGGGCGGGGCAGGGGAGGGCTGTGCCCACAGGGGGCCTTGGCGCATGCGCCCCTACCCACCAGCACACACGTGGCTCAGAGCCCCCATGGCGGCCGGTTGGTCCCAGGGCTGCCTTTCGACCTCCTTTGGCATAAGACCTTCCCCCTGCCAAGCCGGGGTGTTGTAAAGTGGACCGAGTGCTCAGAGTCCGCCCAGCTAGTCCCCCACACCAGGGCTTGGCCTCCCCCCCCCTCCGTCTGACCTGGCAGCCCTCCCTAGTCCACCAGCAGTCCCGCCCCCAGGTGAGGCGTGTTTATAGCCCCCTGTGGTTGTGAGAACACAGACCCTGGGCTGTCCGGAGGGAGGGCATGTGTCTTCTGAGAGGGAAAGCTGGGGCAGTACCTTGACGATTGTCACCTGAGGGGTAGGGTGACCAGCTAGCCAACCAGCGGTTTGTGGAAGGAGACGCCCGGGTCAGCCCCTCTGCCCTGGGCCATCCTCCGTCCTGCAGGCAGCTCGGGGTCTTTCTGCACGGGGTAGGGGCTCGGCCAGACTGTCAGGGGCTCAGGGAAGATAGAGGGTCCCCACGGCCGAGTGAGGAGGAGACCCCATGGTCGAAGCCCAGGTAGGGGGCTGTGTGCCAAGCTGGGGGTGCCTCAGGATGGCCTACAGTCCCTGCTCACCTGGTCCCAATCTCAGTGTGGGGACAACCCAGACAGGTGGACAGTGGGGCCCTGGGGACCGGAGTCCCAGGCAGGAGTGGGTTTGTGAGGGACCTGAGGGTCCCAGACATGGGGTTGCCCTCCTGGCCAGAGGGGGAGCTGTGCTTCCTCCGAGTGGGGTCCAGAGGGGGGCCTGGAGGCCGTGGTGCTGGGCTGAGTCAGGAGGAAGGGCCGGCCACACACTCCTGTAACTGAACTGGTGGGGAGTGGTCTCACCCCCGGGCCACACACTCCTGTAACTGAACTGGTGGGGAGTGATCTCACCCCGGGGCCTGCTGTCTGCCCCCCCCCCCGCCCCAAGTTCTCTGTAGTGACGTTTGTCTCGAAGCTGTCCTGAAGTTGTCGGGTCCCACTGGAGGGTGGGCACTGGGTCGTCCTCCCAGCTCTTTCCAGGGAGCTCACCTGGGGGAGGTGAGAGCAGCACCTTCCTGATCCCCCAACTTGGGGGCAGGAGAGAGGCCCCTGCCACCCACAGGACTCCCTGAGTGGGCGGCGCTGGGCTCTGCAGGTCCGTGCCCCCATCAGCAACTGGGATGTTTGCAAGTCCCCCAGCGGCCGCTCCTAACCCTGTTCGAAAGACCCCTGAGCTCGCCAGCATGGGAGTGGCCACCCGGCCTCAGTCCCTGCTCATGACAGATGTCCTCGGCCCTCGTGCTGCTTCATCTCCTCTGGCAGGATCTCCATTGTGCTTCCTCCTGTGGGGATGGTTCCGCAGGGGCGGCTGGCCTTTGAGGGGCTGGCTATGGGGAAGGCCCAGTCTGGGGGAGGTTCCTGGCCCAGGAGGGAACCCACATTCCCACCCATGGAAGCTCTGTCTGGCCCTGGGACGGGGACTCACCCTCTCCGGGGTCCGCCTGGGCCTTGGGCAGCTGTCCCACCCTGGACCCCGCGTGGGGGTGTGCGGCTTCCAGGACAAGGAGGCTCCAGTGCGCCCTGCTCCAGTCGGGGAGGAGGCTCAAGAGCCTCTTTCTCTCTGCTGGAAGGCGCGTGTGTGCCCCTCCCACCCTGGGTTAATTTTAACTCAGTGGCTGGCCAAAAAAACGCCTCCAGGCTGCTGGTCGCTCACCCCCGCCCTCCAGGTGGGCCGCCTGCTGAATGGGGGCTTGTGCGCCTGGG